CACGAGTTCATATTATGTTTCACAGTCATCTTCATTCACACTGTTTCTCAACAGTCATTTCCGTGCGTGTTCTATGAAATGAATCACCATTGGACCTTGCCCATCAAAAACTTTTTTTGTTGTTGTTGTTAAGGTCCCCACCAGGTCCTTCCCATTTCCTTACCTTTTGATCAGACTTCATCTGTAGAATCTCTTGATCAGATATATACAGAATTATAAAATTATTAGAGAACATGATTTAAGCTCTTTCTTTCTTTCTTTCTTTCTTTCTTTCTTTCTTTCTTTCTTTCTTTCTTTCTTTCTTTCTTTCTTCCTTCCTTCCTTCCTTCCTTTCTTTCTCTCTCTTCTTTCCCCTCCTCTAGGCCATAATCCAAACTGGTGGCAAAGAATTTCTCTGTAGAAACCCAGTTGCTCTGATAGAAGAGGAAGCTGAGGCCGAGGGCCCAGATGATCAGAGCGTCTTGTCCAGTGATCCCCACGCCTGTCCAAGAAAAAGAAAGCCAGATCAGCGACTGCAGGTGAGCCAAGACTACCAGAATGTTCCAGAAGCCCATGAAACAACAGAGAAACTTCAGAGCAGGGTGTCATGGCCATCTGGAGAGGAGGGAAGTCGAGGGAGATGAGTGAGCTGCTAGAATACGGAAAGATCAATCAAAGAACAGGGTTTAATCATTGCCCTCAGTGACTGGCATGGACACATTATTTCCTGAGTATTTCTGAGCGTTGGGGAGAATGGAAACCCTAACTCTGCCTCCCTCTCTACGCTCCCCACCATCAGCATCCTTAACTCCCAGGTTGCTGTGGGGCTTGGTGCTGTTTAAATAAATACCTCCTCACAGTGATTGAGGCCAGAGTAGAGCCTTCCAGGCCGTATCCTGCGCGAGCAAAATGCCAGTACTTTTCTCCTTCAGGATTGAAATAGCCAAAGTGTATCAGCGACTTTGGTTTTTAGTCACTAAATATAGTCCTCAATATTTAGAAAGATAAGAATATCTAAGATTGGGATTCAGACAGTGAAGGGTATAGACTAATGGAAGGCTTGGCAATTAGGCACTGACCCTTATTGGACTGGGCGAGGTCGTCCGGAGATGTCTGCCTTCATGCCTCACCTAGGGCTTGGGAAAGATGTAGTCACACCGAGGAGATGGGTGGATTGGAAATTTTCGTTTTAATGTGTGTTTAATTGAGACATAATACTCATTACATTGGTTGCCACTTCACAGGGGCAGAAAGATCCTCCAGAGACCGTTTCTGTAGGCTCTGATCTGGAGATTCTGGAATCTGAGGACGACTTGGAGGACAACTTGATGGAAGTTCAAGAAGAGGTCATTTTTGGAAATGGTGAGTTAGAGAATAAGAGAGCTGAGAGAGACCTGGAAGACAGCTTGATGGGGATCCAAAAAAATAGTGAGCTGGAGAATCGTAGATCCAAGGAAGACGACTTAGTAGCAGAAAAGGATGAGATCGTTTCAGTAAACGCTGAGCTGGAGAATCGGAGACTGGAGGCAAAGCTGCAGAACAATTTAAGGGAACGTAAAAGAGAGGCGACAGCGTGTGATGCACGGGAACCTTCGCTTCTGAACAATCCTGGTGAGTTTGGAGACCAGGGAGTAAGGATATTTAGCAACTCTTTCTCTCGCCCTTCACGCTTTGGGCTTTTATGCAAATCTTACTAGTTTCCTGTTTTTACAATAATGATCACATGCAGTATTTCTCCTTATGACATTGAGTTTACTCAGCATAATGCTCTCTAGTCTCTCCCATGTTATATACTGTTTGTTTTTTTTTTAAATCATTGCTTCTGAGTTGCTTCCAACAGTCAGTTGAACATTGAATATATTCACGGTCAATATACACATCCTCCTTTCTGAATTACTGAATATATTCAATACAGACATCTTCCTTTTTGAATTACTGAATATATTCTATGTACACATCTTCCTTTCTGAATTCCTCTTTCATCATCATTGCAAACTTACTGACCCTAAGTTTCCCATGTAATCTATTTGGTTGCTCTCATTATATATGTCAATATAGACAGTTTTTGAAAGAGTGTAATATTCGTGCGGACTGTACTCCTTAAATAGTAGAATGCTGTTGTTTGGGAGATGCCACTGAGTCAGCTGCAACTCCGAGGGCCTGTGAGAACCTGACACTCGACCTGTCCTGCACCATCCTCATAGCCTCTGTCACGTTCGGGACCACTGTTACGGTAAACTCTGTCAGAGCCTCTTGTTGAGGGTCTTCCTGTCTTCCTGTGAACCTCACCTTTTTCAGCGTGATGTCTTTTTACAAAGGGCTGGCTCTTCCTGACAGCACGTCCTAAGTATGTGAGACAAAGTTGAATCATCCTTGCATCTCTTTGGTCACACTGCCTCCGAGAAGTGCTTGTTTGTTCTTTGGCAGTTTATGATATATTCAGTATTCCGGAACGACACTCAAGAGCATCAGTTCTTCTTTTGTCTTATTCTCCTTATTCGGTGTCCAATTTTCAGATGCCTAGGAATTAAGAGGAAAGATCGTGGTTTAGATCAGGCATATATCAGTGGTTTGGGTTTTTTTCATCCTTTAGTTTTTAAAGGTCATCCTTTCTCTTTGGCACTCTGTAGAGATTCTTGGCAGTAGATTTTTTTCCCAGTGTAACATGTCTTCTGATTTCCTCATTGCTGTTACCGTTGGTGTTGACTGTGGATCCAAAGAAAATTAAATATCTGACAAGTTCAGTCTTTTCTCCATCTGTCACGATGTTTACTTGTTGGTTCAGTGTTGAGAATTTTTGTTTCCTTGCTGTGGAGACGTGATCCGTTTTGAAGACTGTAGTCTTTCTGTCTACCTTCTGCAGCAAGTGTTTCAAGTCTTCTTTACATTCTGCAAAGTTGTGCTGTCTGCATACAGTTGTTAATGAAACTTCCTTCACACCTGATGACACATTTTTCTTCATATAATCCAGTGTACAGATCGAATAGTTTATGCCATCATGATTTCTTTTCCTTTTTTTGGTGAGAAAAAAATTGTACTTAGAATTAGCCAGCTGGACTCGAGTTTCGATGATCCCAATTTTGTTGGCAACATCCAAAGCAGCATAGTGAGGAGCAAGTTGAACAGAGGCCTTCTTTCCATCAGGCCTAGTCAGGTGTTGACCTTGGCCATATCGATGTCATAGAGCTTCTTTACGGCTTGTTTAATTTGGTGCTTGTTGGCTTTGACATCCACAAAGAACACAAATGTGTTATCTTCTATCTTCTTCATGGCTGACTCAGTGGTCAGGGGAAACTTGATGATGACCTAGTGGTCAAGCTTTTTCTCCTGGGGGTGCTCTTCCGGGGGCATTTGGGCTGCCTTCAGAGCCTCAGCGTCTTAGGCCACTGCAAGGTGGGTGACGTGTGGATCTTCTTTTTTTTTTTTTTTTTTACTGTGGTTGCCCTTCAAGACGCCTTCTTGGCCTGTAATGCCTTTGCTTTGGCTTCTGTTTTGGGAAGGGTAGGGGCTTCCTTCTTCGCTTTTAGCACTATCTTTGAAGAAAGGGCTATCGTGATTTCTTAAGGAAACTTCATAGGATAGTTTTGGTTTCATGTTTAAAGATTATCTCACAGAAATTTTTTAAGTCATTCATTCACACAAACTATCCCCTGCAGGGCTCAGGCAAGTTTAGAGTTCTCAGCTTCAGTATTCGGTTCTTTGTTTTCTCCCGTTTGAACACGATTCTTCTGTGGAATCCTTGATCCAAGTGTACAGTAACGGTATCCAGACACCATCCAGTCTTAAGGCAAAGGATTTAGTTATTCATGGAGATAATGAGTCAGGTAACCTAATTGTTGTTAGGTACTATTGATTAGGCTTCAGTGCACAGCAAGCCCGGGATAAATCTCTCTCCATCCTGCCTTCTCACAGTATCTACAGAGCTTAAGCCATTGACGCAGACACTATGGCAGGCCCTCTGTAACCCTTGTGATTGAGGGTGGTTTCATTTTTCCTGGACTCTGCTAAGTGGTCAGGGTGCACTGCCAGCCCCAAGATGGTCATTTGAAATTACCTGCTACTCTGAGGGGATGTTGTGGGCAATCTCTCTCATGTATTTCTTAGCCCCTGAAAACCTGCTGGCAGGTCAAGTATGAGTTTCACACAACAAAAACTACTGTACCTAACACCTGCCTCCAAGCATGTGCCTCTCCTGATACCTGCCCAAAGTGTGAGCTCTATCTGAGATGACGTTCCTCTAAGGGACATTCTTCGGAGTGCCTTCTTCCAGGGCAGTTTCATTTGTTCTTTTGGCAAAGTTTTATCTTACTTATTTTGGGGCATCATTTCGGAGATGCTACTCCATGGAGAAGGGGAGTCATGCTTGAAAGGTTGGAGAGACGACAGAAGAAGAAGATTACCAATGATATGGGTTGACACAGTGACTGCAGCAACGAGCACAAGTGTGTCAGAGACGATGAGGATGGCACAGGAGAGGACAGATTGAGAGACAGTTAGAAATGCTCCCTAGGTACCTCTCCAGCGGGTCTTCACAGGCAGTGAATTGCATGGGCAGGGATGGCCCATTTTGTTCCCACAGCACAAGCGGAGACATTTAGTAATATTACTGCCTGACCAAGTGAGTGTGATGTAATTGAAAATGCGCTTCAATAACATTATGTGTTGACTCTTCTCTCCCAGGAAATTCTGCCAAGGCCAATGATGGAAAGAGTCCTGAAGGAAGACCTTCCGTTAAATACGTGGAAGCTAAAGTACCACGTGGTTTGGAGAGAGAAGTTTCTATTCCGCATAAGAGAAGTTCCCCAAAGAATCAGAAGTGTTCCAAGAAAAGAAAACTGGTTGAGACTTGCAGTTCTCAGAGAAGGTCTCAGGAAGAAGCTGCACATTTGGACAAAAACCAATTCTTCGCGCTTGTGGGATTGTATGAAGTTAATCCTCCCAAGATCGTTGAGCCAGCAGACTCTAAACTTCAGAGTGTTGTGGGACCAAATAAGTCTGTGCCAGCTAAGAACCAAGAGTCCATGGAAAAGACGTTTCCCTGTCCATATTGTGAGAAAGAATTTCGTTATGAATCTCAGTTTGAAATCCACCAGAGGACCCACACAGGGGAGAGGCCTTTTAAGTGCAGCATTTGTAACAAAGGGTTCATGCAGCCCTCAGATGTTCGAGTCCATGAGAGAATCCATACGGGAGAGAAACCTTACAAGTGTCTGATCTGCCATCAAAGGTTCACGCACGACTCTACCCTGAAGTGCCACCAAAGGATCCACACAAAAGAGAGGCCGTTTGAGTGTCCAGTGTGTGCACAAAAGTTCAGCCACAAGGGGAACCTCAATGTGCACCGGCGAATCCACAGTGGGGCAAAACCTTACACCTGTTCTGTGTGTCATCGTTCCTTCCGTCAGCTGGGAACGTTCAAGCGCCATGAAAGAAACCATTCCAAAACCACCCCCCAGTGAATCCTGTGAAGATGTGTGCCAGGGCCTCTGTCCTTCCCCAGTAACTGCACCATTTGCCCGCTTTTGGGGAACATGCACAAGGAGGAGATGAACTCTGTGATAGCCTTGGCCGGGGGGGGGGGGCGGCCTGTTGGACTCACATAAGTGAGCGAAGCACACTTCCTCATGGCCCACTTGACAGACAAGCTGTGTGTCCACCAGGATGGCCCTTCCAGAGACTAAAGGTTGGGCGGAACATCCATGACTTCTGTGATGTGTGCTCTTACTGGTAATGTGCCCACATGTGACTAAAAGTTCAGTCGTGCTGTCCCTGTAATAAACTCGTGTTGGCCCTCTGACGTGCGTGCTCCCACCGTGCTTTTTCTCTGTCTTCACACCCACTCTCGTCAGCAGGCTGTCATCTTCACTGTGGCTCAAATGGTAGCCTCAACTGCCGCCCCAGCAGGGACTTGATGTAGGCATAAGTGTTTGGGCGATACAGCAGGTCCTTTGCCAGACCCTCAGATCAAGTGTCTGAAGTCACTTCTAGAAAGGAGGGGTCTCAAGCTAACCCAATCTCAGGCGTCTGCTTTCTGGCACCTGTTCTCGATCTTGCTCCCTGTTTTAGCTGTGGTAATCTATTCGTCTCATCCCGCACCCCCCTTTTCTCCTTGTTTCATTCCCTTACCTGATATTTCCCCCAATTCAAAAAGGTATTTCCTATTTTTCTGATATTAATTCATGTCTCTGAGCCAATGAATTTACTTACACATAGTTGTTATGTTATTACTATTCTGCCCGGGTTAGGCCATTGCTCTGTGTACTTAGATAAAAGGACTTGTCCCTTTATTAGTCCAAATTGCTACTTTACATTTACAGCGAAGCAACTCCATATTCTCACAATATGTCCGAAGCCATGCAGGCCTAACTGGCTTCCTAGTAGAAGGAAACTGGGAAACAGACCTTCCTGCCCCCCATGTCTACACCAGATCCCTTATATTCATTGACCCACGTCAATCGTAAGGGGCTTAAAGCACAGTTTCCTTGAACTCTGTAGTCGCAGTTACCAAGAATTTTACGCTGTTGTAGAGCTAGTGCTTCCCTAATTCACACCCCTGCTGTCCAGTCTCCAGATGTCTGAGAGCTAATGGCCTGTGGCAAATTGATGTGGATAAGTGCTCATAGCGACCATATGAATAAAAGACCTGAACACGTGTATAACGTGAATCATTTCTCCAAGTTCCTAGAGTTTGTGGAGCCAAGCTGTTTCAGAGGCAAGCTATTTCAGAAGTGGATTCCACTCCCTCTTCCAAGCTTGTTTTAATCGAGGAGCTCCACCAAACACTGTCCACCATGAGTTACACATGTTAATTCTTTGCGCAAACAAAAATATGTGTTTGCTTCTCTTGACACCTATTCTAAATTCATGGCCACTGTACAAACCGGAGAGTTAAAAAAAAAAACGCAAACAAACCCTTATAAGTCATTTGCCTTCAATATTTTGCAGTCTCGGGCCTTCCACAAGCCATAGAAACATAAAGCCATCTGTCTTTCAATCTGCTGCCTTTAGGATTTTACCCTTGGGGAAATGGTGTTCCTGGCCGTTGGTTCTTTAGGGAGGGAATGCCTCCAGGCTGTGACTGGATCTGCCTTGTAGATCTGTTTGTTTCTTTAGCTTAAAGCTGTGTGTGTTTTAGTATTTATGCTTCTATTTTTACAGCAATGCATTTTTCCTTGTGAGACTGCTTTAGTTCACTCAGCATAATGCTCTCCACCCAGCTTATGAAATATTTCTTTAAAATAGTTGTTCCTGAGTGCTGTTTAATATTCCATAGTGTGTGAGAGAACTCCAGGTGGGGAGGGCTGAAGGTGGGCAGGGACAGGACCATAGGGCTGCATAGCTTGGTGGGTAGGGGTCGGGAAGGAAATGGGAAGGATCTGGGCAAAAAGTCAGGGTAATTTATGGGAAGTCAAACTATGCCAACTTTATATGAAAACTTTGTTCAGGAATTGACGGAATTACAGCTTTATAAGTTAGGCTTTCTCTTGTGGCAGATCCCAGAAAATGAGCTTTTGGTTCCCTGCATACAGGAGACAGCAAGGGCCCCCCTACAGAGGGAGTGTTACTTCCTGGGAAAGACTTCCTGAGCTAGAGCATTAGGTTGACATATAGAGAAAAATTCAGCTTCATTTACAAGGAATTCCTTTGATTATTTGCTTCCCCAGATTATCAATAAATACACAGAAGCTTGGCTTGGGGTCTTCAGT